TTTTTTTTTTTTTTTTTGTATACTTTCAGCACAAAATACTTGCGAATTGTTGCATTCAAAACATCTGGAAAATTTTTATTATTTTTTTTTTTTTGGGTTGGGGGGCATATGATACTATTTTCAGTTCTATGAGGGCCAGGCCCCCCGGGACTCCCCCTTCGTTTGTCTATGGCAAGGGAGTTGAGCCATGAGCCATTGAAGTCGAGGATGCCCAGACTGGAGACTCTTAGTATCTGAGGACGGAAGAAAATGGAAACGCAGTTACTAAAAATATCCCTCTCACTAAAAATCTTGAAAATAGATAGGAATTTTCAAAGAAGTATACTTGTTTGAAAATGTAAGGGGAATTCTACAGTGTCCCAGCGTGTTTCTGAAAATCTATTCACCTTTTGCGAAATTTTTAGGGTAAATTTTTCACTTTTTCTCACGAAACAAGGGTTGCATGTGAATTCGTAGTGGTTTTTTACGGGTAACACGGGCCCCCTCCGGGGCCCGTTGTGTCGCCCCCCCCCCCCTTGTGGCGGGCCTGCCTCCGCATATATCCATATCAAACAAATTGTTTGGTTTTGAAATCGTACCGAATACCATTCTCAACCTGCCATTATTTTACGCTCCGTTCATTAGGAACAAGTTTCCTCATCAAAATCCTCGCGGATCTCTGACAAAAATTCATTTCATTTGCCGTCATTAATGTTTCCTCAGATCTCCGCACTCCAACTGCCAAACATTACTCCCTTGGGCTTTAATATTCTTCACAGTATCATTGTAAAGCCCTCTTTCATTTTCTTTTTTACGATTTTCTGATCCCAAAAAGCCCTGTGTAGCATTACGATATTTTTCCTTTCAAATAATACTTATCAACGACGACGTGATAGTACAAATGGCAAAACGCCTTCATTTCTGAAAGAACGCAACCATGACAGCTATTGAGTAGGATTGGTTACAGTGGCGTTGCATCTCAGGCGAAGTATTTTAACGTGGCTCAATGCTACTGCTGAAATGATCTATTCATAGGAACATGATCGCCCAATCTTAAAAAGTAATGTTCTTTCATAGATCACACTGTTTCTACAAAAAAAAAAAAAATAAAAAAATGTCTCCCGTCGAGATAATAAAGTGAAACTTACGTATTTTGAGGCGTTAAATCCGAATATAATCTCCGGTTTTTCCGAATCACCCTCCAATTTTCCGGCAAAGCCAAGTCACCCCGAGAAATGACCATTTTTGGTGTTTTTGCGACTGTTCCCCTTGCAGAATGAAAGTAAAATGTTTCTCAGATACAATGTAAGACTATTCTGATGTATTTTGAGCCGCTGAGTCCGAAAATGGTCAATAATTTCAAGTCCGGGAAATCTTTTCTTCAAAGGTAGGCTCAAAAAAATCGGCTTTACCGGAAAACTGGAGGGTGATGGAAATAAAGAACCGAGGTCATATTCGGATTTAGCAGCTTAAAATACATTAGATTCACTTTACCACGGGTCAAGGAAAATTTTTCAAAATAAATTGCATGCATGACGAACATGCGTCAAATTTGCTCATTTCTCCGGAAAAAGTCGCTTTTCCGGAAAATTGCGAAGTGATAGAGAAAAATAAAGGACATTTTTGGACTCAGCGGCTCAAAATACATCAGAATAGTATTTATCTTGTATCTGAGAAAAAATTTTCCTACATTCTGCGGGGATAACAGTCGCAAAAACATCAAAAATGGTCATTTTCCCGAGTAAAATCGGATTTGCCGGGAAATTGGAGGGTTATGGAAAAAAATGAAGATCCTACTCGGATTACAGTCCATAAACTTCACTTCATCCCGTCCTGGAGACATTTTTTTTTCGTTTTGGTTTCGTGAACAGTGCTATTAGTTGACTACATTCACAGACTTTTACATTATGGGCTACGTAGAATATATTAATGTTACACTGAAACTAGACCTTCGGCGTTTCAGCGATTTACTTTTTCAATGGTTTGAAAACGTTCTGGACATTTTGGGTATTGTAAAAGCCTCAATTATCATGAATCCAGTTTGAATGTTAGGCTTGAGGATGTCTGGAAAGTTCCTCAAACCTCCCATTTTTTCTAAATGAAAAATTGGTTGATTTTAAGGATTTTTTGATGAATGTATTCGTATATTTCCAAATGAAAATCATCCATATGATTATAAGGTTATCTAACCAGTTTTATTGTGCGTTTTTGTTGACATCGACGGTGAAAATACCAAACCACGTATCTATCTCGTTTACGGAGTTTCAAAATATCGTCACCTTCCAGGCAAAGTATCACAAGCGCCATTCGACGTTTAAAATTTCCGCCGCCATTTTATTTTTTTACAGAGAAATTGTTCAACGAAGCTGTCCGAAAATTTCACTGAATTTTCTTTGTGCTGCCGATAAAATTTAGTGAAATTTCCAAACAGATTCAACCAACAATTTCTCAGTAAAGAAATAAAATGGCGGCGGAAATTTTTAAACGTCGCATGGTGCTTGTGATACTTTGCCTGGAAGGTGACGATATCCGCTCCTACAATATTTTCTCAAAGGAAAACAAGGCATCATCATTCCTTGAAATTTTCTCAGAATTTGCTTCGCTAAAAGAAATAAATCACGGAAGTTTCCAAGAATTGACGTTGCGTAGTTTGTCCATTTAAAAAATAAAGTATGACAGGAAGTTTGCGACGTCGCAAATCGAGGTACGTAGTTTGAGAGTTTCGCCACCAATACTTACTTTATCAAGAGACTTTAGCAAGAAAATTACCTCCTTCGTAATTTTGTAGTAGTTTATCTTTAACTACCACTTCAGTGCCTAAGTACTGCCCTGCTACAATGTCCGACTGCTACGTGAGCTAAATGATCAATATTGGAAAAATCATTTGTTGTGGTATAATAATTCTCTGTAGCATAGGTATTCACGGACACGCCATTTGTTCAGAATATTTTGTAGTCAGAATTTTTGTCATGTTTGAAATTTTAAGGTTTTTTCAAAGCAATGAGATCAAAATATTCTACTTTCGTCGAATACGAATCACTGTCTTATTGCATTTAGAAATTATATCTAACTTTTCATTGGAAGTCTTTCTGGACTTTCCAACTTTTCGTTGAAAGTCTTTCCCGACTTTTCAACTTTTCATGAAAAGTCGTTTCTAACTTTTCAATCACCTCCCTTGTTTCCTCATAGTTGCCCTTAGTTTAACACTCACGCACAGAAATGGGCGGAAAATTATTAAAATGAATAAATGCAATATTACTTTTTAAGCGTGGAATGAAAAGAGACTCAGTTGCCGTACCTAACTAAAAGTTTGCAAAAATATTACAACAGTGAACATTTACTTACTTTGATGCACACAAAAAAAAAAAAAAAAAAAAAAAAAAAAAAAAAAAAAAAAAACGCGACTGGCATGAGAAAAACACGGAGCACACTAATCAGTGATGATCACCCAAAAATTTTCTGAGAAACTCAAGGTCGGATGAAAAGATAAGACCACCTCGGCCGCTTGGTTTCGGTCAATCCTGACATTGGCCAGCCGATTTCGAAATCAGCTGCGTTTTCCTGATTTTTTTTTAATTTCTTTTTTGGGCATACAATCACGTAACAATTCGGTCATGTAGAAATATATTTATTTAATAATACAAAGTGAAACATATTTTTGGAGCCTCATGCATACTTCATTATATGGAGTAGATTCCTGACAATCAGCGGTACGTGGCTGACGTCAAAGGACATGCCACTAAAAAACAGCCTGAGTGCTCACCAGTTATAATAGCTAATTAATACCAGTCCTTGCTAAAATATAGTGCGTTTCTATTCAATGAGAATGAGGGACATCAACATTATGAACGCAGGTACGTGTTACATCAAAAATTGTGAGACAGTCTCTATTGAACGAATGTCATAAGCACACATGATCATACAAGTCCATTCACGCATAATTAATAAAACATGTGTGAGTGTATTAATTAGTCTTAATTGAAGAATTACAATTTTCCACGCACTGTCAGACATATGTATACTCGACGAGGAGAAAGGACAATTGAGTGTTAATAGGTGTTCATTACAATCAATAATCGCTTTTTAGCTGGTAAAGACATTTCTATCTGATCAAAATAAGGAAAATGCGTGTAAAATCTGTATTACCTAGGCCATGGGCGTTACATTATGATGACTACTTTGATTTGTAAGAAATTTTAAATAGCTAATCGAGGAAAATAGTTATTGAACGATCAAATGTTTTTAAAACATTATAATCATGAAGCATACTGAATACAAAAACTTACATTTATAAAGGAATATTCAACGGAAGGATTTTAGTGACACTGCACTGTATTTAAATAACAGACTCTTGCAAATAGTGTAGCATAGGAAGGATAGAATACGAATAGCTTATGCTCTAATGTGAGAGCCGTATAGATAAGCTCCATTACGTAAACTGGAAAGTTCTTAAAGTTCCTGCTACATTGAAATATCCTGAAATTATCGACTTACCTGAGAGATCGATCAAATACTAGCAATTATAAAATAGTTCGATCAAATTCACACAACATTCACGGATATGTCTTAAGGACATGGAGAATGGATTTAAATCTGCATAATTAGAGTGTCGAGAGTAGTTTCCGATTATAATTAATTTTATTTACAGAGCTAATGGGATTGCCAGCCTCGCAGGTTAGTGTGTATCAATTTTCAATGCTTAGATTATGTTACACAGTGTTGACCGATGATTGAACATCAGAGGAATCAGAAGATTCCGTCCACTAGGTTTTCCGGTGCTCTCTTTTACGATATTACTGTAAAAATATAAAAACCAAAAAAATATCTACTTAACTCATTTGGATCGTTTTTTATTGTGATTTTTGACAGAGTAAGAAACATACACACAAAACACAAACAAAAAAACAGGGACAGTCCAACAATAACTGTTGGGTAACTGCTCTTTACAAATGACTTTTGAAACAAAGGAAATAGCAGTACCTGATATTCACACTACTTTATTTTTAGTGCGATTCGTAAAAGATAGAGCTTCAACCTTCGACCTATTTTCAATTGAATTATGTTAAAAACAAACGCCATTATATTTAAAAATAAAAACAAACAACAACAAAAAAATGATTTTAAGTACTTTTTTGGATTGACTAGTGATAAGGTGGCATGAAAAAGGGGAAATATCCCCTTAAATGCTAGCCGTTGCATCGTGGAAATGGATATTTCTGCATGCACTAGTCCAAGGTTGCAGTTTAAGGCACATTAGCCACCTCTGACTTCTTACTTTGAAAAATCTGACCTCAAATTCGGATTCCTTATCAATTTATATAACGCAGTATCAAAATTCATAGGATTCAGCTCAAAAAGAAGCAGTATAGCGTTTCAAGCTAAATCCATCATCTTGGATTTTTTGACCGCCTTAGTTCACCGAACTGAGAAATGTATTAGGTTCAAATGGAACGTAACTGTACTGAAGTTCAGCTCTATGAGAACCAAAGCAGTCAACTAGTTCACAGAACGTAGTTTTCAAGTAACGTGCGTATTGGTCGTGTTACTAAAGGTTTTTTTCCCCCTCCGTGTGCTTGGGTTGCATAACGATGGTGAAACTGCAGAAATGCATATCTCGGTTTGCGCGTTGCAGACTTCTTGTCATACCTCATTTTCTACATGGAAAACTATCAAACGTCACTCCCGGAAAACTTTGGTGATTTTTACTTTCGAAGCAATGAATATTTTATGAAAATCTCGAGCCATTTGTTGGATTGGTCTCCTTTTAAAATATAAAGTATGAGCGGAGATTTTAAAACAATGCAACCGGGATACGCATTTTTGCAGACTCACCGTCGATGATTGACCAAAAAGATTAAATTTTTTGCAAGCGTATGACTCCACAATTTCTGTCCAAAATTTTCCAGATTGTCACATTTATAAGCGGAGGGAAAATCTGTAAAATTTTGGATGAGCAATGCCCTTTAATTTTTCTAGAAATGTACACTTCAAAGAGGGGAATTTGAAAACTTCGAAATTCACTTAAGTTAATTCGTCTGGCGAACGACGAATCACTAGGGTTCTTATTTAACGTGATTTCACACTAATTGGACATAGCTATTTAAATCAAAAGTAACTTACCCATTCTGACATGAGCCTCAGATCCTTGAGACAATATGCATGACAGGGCTCATGACATGATGGATATAGTTCCTTTTGATTTAAATGCGTCTATTTGTGCTCGGTATAGGCATAAAAATTAAGATTTTTTGAGCAGATGATCCTCAGACGTCTCCAGTTAGCGAGGAACACACAATCCACCCGTTTTACCTCGACTGAAGACAATATGCCAAAGTTGAAGTCGTCTGGCGCGAAACGCACCAGCAGCGCAATTAAGATAAAACGTGAACATACGCTTGAAACGCTCGTTGTGATTTTGCGACAGCTGCGGCCAAGCGTCGACGAAGCGCTCGTACCATGCCATCATAGTTTTGTCGAAGTCGGCACCCATGTTGTGCAAGTCCTCCACCACGAAGAAGGGTTCGCTGGCCTCGGCGATTTGCTTGAGCGACGGGAAACACCCGTTGGGGAAGAGGTACTTGTCGAACCAGTCGTCGTGTCGCTCGACGGTTTTGTTGGACGAGATGACGTGCAAGACGAAGATCCCGTCCGGGCCGAGGCAGCGGTCGACGACGTCGAAGAAGTTGGCGTAGTTCTTGGGGCCCACGTGCTCGATCATCTCGACGGAGACGACGCGGTCGAACTGTCCCTCCAGATCCCGGTAGTCCTTGAGGAGGATGCTCACGTCGAGGCCCTTGCAGTGCTCCCGGGCGAATCTCTCCTGTTCCCTGGAGAGGGTGACCCCGGTAACGCTGACGTCATAATTGCGGGCCATGAAGGCGGCCAACCCCCCGAAACCGCAGCCGATGTCCAGGACGCGCATCCCCGGTTTCAGGTGGAGCTTCTCGCAGATGAGACGAATCTTGTTCTCCTCGGACTCCTCGAAGGTCGTCCCGTTCCGCCAATAACCGCAGGAGTACTGCATGTGCGGACCCAGCATCCGGACGAAGAGGTCGTTCCCGAGATTGTAGTGCACCTCGTTTACTTTCCACGCCAAAGTTTTCGTCTGCAGGTCGAAGAATTTTACAGACAATAACTTGAGGATGTCGTTTAACCTTATAGGTAAATGTTTGATGATTGTTTTCGCTCGGGGATTGAAGAACCGATCGTAGATCATTTGAAATACATCACGTATGCTGTGTGGTTGTAATTCATCTATACGAGTCTTCAAGAATCGGTAAAGGAAGCCGTCCAGTTGCTCACATTCCCACCAGCCGTCCATGTAACTTTCGCCGAACCGCAGAGAGCCATCTCTGATGATTCGCTCATAAATGGCAGGGTTGAGTATCTTAGGGTCCCATGGGCGGGTTCCATTGAGTTTAGTGTCGGCCTCGGCTAGCAAATCTTCAACGATTGAGAACAAGGAAGCATCGATCATTCCCATATTCGTCAATCAATATATATCGTCTGAAACATAGGAAATTCCAATAATTGGTGACAAAATGAAATAAAATGAAGATAGAGCAAAAATAAATTTCGATCAGATGCATACTGATGGTAAAAGTACAAAACCACGTATTTTCATTGCGGTATTTCAAAATGTCCGTTCCTATTTAATTTTTTTGGAAGAGAGGCAAGTGAACCTCATGCATGGCTTTAATTGATTCGGAATATTCTGGTGCAATAGAGGGAAAATTAAGGAAGTTACTTATAAATAAATTACATATATTGATTAGTTTTTTAAAGAAAAAATAAAGTGTAATATCAAGTCTAGCCGCGTCGTGAACGGAGATGAGTGGTTTCGCACTTTGGCTATCTGTACACCTACATGAGATGAGTCCAAACGTCGAATTTTCATCGTCTAACACGAATTGAAATATCGTTCCTCAAAAAGAAAAAAAAATCTGCTTCCTGGATTCTTCTACATAATAGTTCAATCAATCAATGTTAAACCATATTTGCACCGTTGGCTCTACGTGCATAACTGTTGGCATATACTCTCTTTTGACGGCTCTAGTTCACTCTGGATCTGAATTGGCGTGTTAGCTTTCAATGTCACGTTAATTATTCATTCAAATTATACTGCAAACTCCTCGCATACCTATGTAGGTATCATTCTGGTGTTCGAAACGAGTGCCGATTGCGAGTGGTGTGCCAAGTTGTGCTGTTACGTGTGGATATTTTATAAGTAGATGGGTCTAAATGGGTAAAAGTGCTAATTTTCAGCACACTGTGGCAACAAACGGTGTGAAAGTTTACTGGAGTAACGGATGTGGCGGAATGACGCTGGGCGAAATTGAATTAATTAACTTAAATTAATCTGAGCCTAAGTATTTTGTCAAATTTTCAAATCTTTACGAATACTCTTCTTATGAACTGATGGACGATTGTCAAAAATTTAATCCCTTTGAAAGTATGTTTATTTATGACTTAAAATCATTTTTAGCATAACTTCTTTGGTCTCAATTGTCCAAAGTGAATAACAAAAATACAGCAGAAATAATTTTAAGAATCACCTTCATCAATCAAACGGGACGGAGCTTTTTTCTATAGAAGCTACTATGCTTCTGAGCTTATTTTGGGTATCAAACCTCAAAATATGGTGGCAAATCGTTGAAAAATCATCATTCCCTGCGAGTGCAATTTTCTTAAAATTGTTCTAGACGAAACAAGGAAATAACCAAATGAAAAAAGTTCTACACAAATCGAAATTATCGGATCTCATGCCCAATTCCATCTTAAGTTGTTTCTCCTAGCTCAACCCCGAAGGAATATATACATTAAAACAATTAGGGGGTTTCGAGGGATACCTGTTGCTTACTAAATTTGAGAATATATTATGGACCCAGAAAAAACAACAGATTTATCTGAGTTAAAGATTCTGTGGCACAAATAGAATACATAGATAGATTTTTCTTTTTCACTTAAAATTTGTTATCATTCATATATTTATCAATTTCCATTTCAGTTATTTTCACCAATATTGCCAACATTTAAAATTGATCCAAGGAAGGGATAGAAATAGAGGATGAAGTAGAAAAGGAAACAAGGCAGTAGCAAAACTAGAATAGGTGGCACGAACCTCATTTGTGGTTTTTCAAAAGATCGGGTCTTAACTTTAAATTAAATTATAGAAAATAGAATAATTAACGTGATTAAGTCAAATTTAATTAACTTTTTAAAATTAAAGTTGCAAAGTAAGTATGCAGGTTTACCTACGTATATGTTTTTCTAGTTACCCTATAAATTATTTGTTATAGTAAGCGTATAAAAGTTGGGTAAGTTTTTTTCTCATTTTGAAAGTATTAAAACCGTCATGTTCAATTTTATCTATCTCAAGTTGGTAGAAGATGCTGTTGGGATAATTGCAAGATTTTATTACCTTCGTCACGTGATATCTTTCAGTGAGTAAAAACTTCCACGCCGTGTGATGTAGATGAACAGTGAAGTATCTCCCCTAAAGGAACACGTATGATTGTACGACTATGGAACTCGTTTAAAAACTTGAGACTACGAGTGAAATCATTTTCACTCCGAGTTTTCACTTTTCCTCGGTCTCTCAATTTTTGAGAATGAGCACAAGCTAAGACTATTTTTGATGCAATGAGCGGCCTTTTTTTTTTGGACAGAATGTATTTCCGCAGCTGATACATTTGTAATGCAAATGTCAAAGCCGAAGCATCAATCCGGTTTTACTCGAGTTCGTCACAGAAAAATTCTACAATAGGGACATCGCTATGAGGAAAATCGATTTTTTAGAATTCATCCACAAGAGATGAAAAAAAAAACAAGGTCGAACACATTTTCAATGAAAAATTAATTCCCAGGTGCGTATAGGGAGAGTTGCTCTCTCCTTCTCTTATTTGCATAAGAAAAGGAAGGGAAAAAATATGGGTCTTTCAAACTATCCAGGTCTTTTAACTTTTAACTCTACTTCATCATGTTCCTTTAATCGTGACTATTATAGGAGCCCTCTGACCGATCGTGACGCAAGCATGACCTATCATCTTGATTCGTCGGAGGTTGGGATTTTGTCGCGTAACTTTTTTAGGGGGTATTTGCAGTCCTGCAGAAATACTTGCGCATGATCCCGGACTTCATTTTCCTTTTGAAAAATTAGAGAAAAAAATAACGCTCCAAGAATAATGTGTTTTTCCATACTTCATGAAGTGCATGAAATGATGTTCGTCTGTGTGATTGGTAAAGTTATCATCATGCTAAATAGTAAGCTTCTTTAGTTCATTTCAAAACTATAGTCTAATCCAAAGACAATCTATGTTTTCCGTAAATGATTGGTACAGATTATGTGCATTTTTACTAAAACGAGATAAAGAGCGACCCGTCACTTTTACAGAGAATTCAAAGTTGTGTGACCATGTCCGTCACGGTGCGGTGCGATGCGATGCGAGTTTGGGCGAAAGCACAAGGCGCCGGGTGTGCGCGCGTTGTCATGGCAACCGCACTCTATCAGCATAAACACATGAAAAAATGCTGTAAACCTTAAACCATCCAAGTTACTTACTTATCGCTCAATTGATTACAGAGCCAATGATTTGCAACAAATGGTTAGCCTTTAAAATACCTAACTTTTTCTGAGTCAAATATTGACTACGTGTGTTTACAATAAACTATAGTCCTTTTTTATCCTGCTGGCTGTACGTAACTAAACGAGGTGTGACGTAAATGGAGAATCTAACTCCCCTACATATGATGTGATGCTAAGAATCGTGTTTGTGCGGGGGTGGAGCCATGCCGCTAAAGTGATAATCAGCAAATGGAAAATATTGATCGACATTTCCCAATCTTTTAAAATAATTTTCTTTTTTCCTAAGTGTAGTAAATTTGTAACCTGAATAATGATCTCTTGTCCAGCCGAGACAAACAATATGAACATTGAAAACGGAGAGTGGAAAATTAGCGCACTGAAAAAAAATCTCGGTGTATTTACTAAGAAAAGGGTAAAATTACCAAGAATTCTGGGTTCTATTTGATCCCAGTTTTTTCTTGGTAAAATTACCATTTATGGAATTGGTAATTTTACCGCGAAATCTCGGTAAAATTATTGAACTTTCTCGATAATTTTACTGGACCTTGGTAAAAACGCCAATATTTTTTAGTGACTGTGGTAGAATTACCGAGATAAACACCGAAAAAAATAATATGCTGTTTTAGCATCTAGGATGTCAAAAATGTGTCTGGTGATCCCGAGATGCTGCCTTTACTGCCCCCGCAGTTAATTTTGCATCCTGTGAATGCAAATTACCAATAAAAGTGGTTTTCTTACCTGGAAAAAACAGTAAAAATACCGGTTTTTAGGTAAGCTTACCAGTCTGTCTTGGTAAAATTACCAATAATTGGTAAAAAAAAGTGAGATGGTAAAGGTATCAACGGAGCTTGGTAAAAACGCCGAGAATTTTTTTTCAGTGCGATCAAGAATTTACGTGAAAATGTTTGAGCTGTTCATAGTCTCATTTGAAGCAACATGATCGCGATTTGATGTAATAATCATGTTAAGAGAAGCAATACAATGGTGCACAAGTTGAAAATCGTCCTGGTTGGCCCTTGCAAGGTTTGTAAAGTATTTGTGGCTGTATTGACTGTTTTTTTTTATGTTGAGGTAGACAGTGGGAGGAGGGCATAGAGTCTCTCAAAAATGATTATTATTCGCGTACATACATCGGTACATCTACAGCACGAATTTCTATCATCTGAAGGAGCTATCTCCTCCCCAATATTATGATGGAAGATTTACTTTCAAAAAAAAAAAAAAAAAAAAAAATATATAAAAAAAGCACGGATTTGAAATACGATATCTCATAATTCCTACTCCTTTGACTTTTTTTTCTATGAAAAAAAGAAACAAACCAAAATTGCCTCTCCCAATTTCTACAAAATATTTCTTATGGAGGAAAAATCACGGAGTTTTGAGAAAATGACTTGTTTCGGCCTCCATTCAAAAACTCAAAGATGGCAGAAGATCTATGACAAGCTGTGATCGTCTAGGTTCAGTTTCATGCCCAGGGCCGGATTTTGGGGCGCGGCCCATGGCGGCAAATTTAGGGGAGCGGCAAATTATGCAATTTTTTCAAATGTAGGTGATAAAAAAAATCGGATTCAGAAAAAAAATACAAACGAGAAAAGGCGACAAAATCTCTCATTTCCTGAGAGTTAAAGTAAAGTAATTTCCAATTTGTTAGTCTTTCGGCGAAACAAGAGACAGCACCTTTCAATAGTCTGGCTGAGAGAGACACCAATCACGAATTTTGGCCTGGAGTGGCACGGCGTAGAGAGCAATGATGATGAGGACTTGAGATGAAAAGGAGAAGCCCTAGGCGCGCGCCGGTCAGCATGAAACACACATTAGCCCCTACAAGACTCCATGAATACTTCACGCATTGCGTCAAACGTAGCGCGGTCAGGAGAGGTTGGTGTGAAACGCATAGCGCCTACAAGACTGCATGAATACTCCACGCATTGCGCCAAACGAAGTGCGGTCAGCAGCGGTCGGCATGAAACGCATAGCGCCTACAAGACTGACACTTCACTCCGGATACTTCACGCAATGCGCCACGCACAGTGCGGTCGGCGCGGTGGCGGAAATTAAACTTATTAAACCATGTTTACGAATTCTTTCCATAATTGTTTCGTTCATTTCTTATAAATGAAAGGCCTTGTCCATCATAGGGATAGGTTTACGGAACTTAACTTTCGCGCAAGGTTCCGTGAACTTCTGCTAGTGTTGACAGGGCTTCCACAAAAAATGCGCCCAACATGAGTAAACGCGTCTTATGCATAATGCGCCCCTCCGCCTTCGGCACGTTCACTTGATGGTGTTTGTATCGATGTTTCAAAACGAATGAGAAGGGGGTGGCAAAATACAGGCGGCCCATGGGGGCAAGAAGGTAAATCCGGCCCTGTTCATGCCAAAAAATCGTAAAACTGAATTGTATCCTAGTGATCTCGTGCTTTGGAAATTGCAGATTAGAGGTAGTTTTCTCTTAAAACTGCGTTTTTAGAACTGCAAACTGCATACTTACCCACAAAGCTTATGCTTGGCTTTACCTTTACGGGCGTTTCATGCTCCAAAATATTTGTTTGAAATTCCGCTGTGCTTTGGTGTTAAGGCATCCAGTCAATTCGTCGTTTTCTCCACAAAAGAACGTAACTACATTTCAATGTTGCCAAATTTTCCCTCGCAAATTGCATTTCTACGAAGAGAATCTTGGGCATTTCTAACTTAAAATTTCACGGATTATTTTTTAGATCTCTTGTAAAAATTTCAGAAATTTTGGACGAAAACTGCACCGGCACTTTTTTGTAAAAAACTGAATTGTTTGAGTCAATTCTGCAACCCTGGAATGAGGTTACGTTCTCTCGACCAGGAACCGACGAATTTTGAGTTCTCGCGGATTTCATGCAGTCAAGTTATGGTTCGTTTCTCTGTGAATGACTGAAATTGTGCGAAAAATTTAGAACATCGTAATCAAGATAGGTGCTTGTGTTTCCAAAGTTTAACAGTCGAGATGTACCATAATTGTTTTTACATTAATCGAAGTATCGAGACTAGCTCGAGACACCGATTGTTTCATTCTGCGATAAGAATTTTATATTACTAGCTCAAATTATAAAGGCACATGGATTTAATATCACATGTGTTGTTCCTAAAACGAGTCGGGAATAATAGAACTTCATTGCAATTTATAGTCCAACTAATTCTAAATAGCAATAAGCTGTTGTGTTGTGATTGAATGTCGGAACCAGTCGAGTCTCTATGACAGCTGACATGCATATAATTAAAGAAAAAATTGATAAAATTTTGACATAAGAAACTACTGTTCCTGACCCATGACCCATCCACAGAAGTACCTGTCTTCATTGTAACAATCATGGCATATTTGTTGTTTCTAAACTGTTCTATGAAAACTTCCAGGCCGGGAAGTCCACGGTGGCGAATTTCCTGTCAAGCAATTCAGAAAATTCGTTCCCCGAATATCGACCCACCAAAGGCGTGAGGATTCTGGAATTTGAGAAGAAGGACGTCGTTGGAAGTGGAACAATCGAAATTGAACTATGGGATACCAGTGGAGATCACGGGTGAGGCGTCATAATCATCTCTGAGTGATGTTCATCGTGTGCGTATGTTCTCTTGCGTTCATTTTGTTTGAAGGCGTTTTTTAGTGGCATCGAATAACATGTTCAATCATTAATATTTTTTCAACTTGAGATCTGAAGAGATTGAACATACTAGACAAGCTGGTAGTTTGCTCTTTAGGCTATAATGAAGCTGTCCTTTCCACGTACTACAATGTTGGTCCTACATATTCATTCCATGCGCATGATCTGAAAAAAATGACGCAAATCCTGGAGAGCTCGAATTTTTCTTGATTTTTAACCAACGATACGCGACAACGCCGCGCCGCAGCGGGAGGCTCTACAGATAAATACATGTTCATAATTAGTGATGGGGCCAAAACATAAGAAAAATATTTGAGCTTTGCCGAATGAATTCGACTTGAAACAGCCTCGAAATACTTAAATACTCGGTTCTCTGTGCGCTTTCAGGCAATAAAATACGGCAACACGTTGCAATTTTTGGGAATCTTCGTATTCCGTATTCAAAAAAAGTTGTTTGATAAGGTTTTTAACCACCTACCTACACTTTCTTCGGATAGGGTTCAATTCTGGTGTCGGTCTCGCCCTTCCTAAGCAATTTTAGATACCTAATGGTGAAAAACTAGAGAAATCAATTCTTTAGTTTTTTTTTTTAAACTATAAGCGGAGGGTTTGATATTGACTAAAACTTCCTCTAAAGTTCTCCTCTCCTAATTAGTACCTCTCTTACTTTCTTAATGAACATAATTGAAATACTTTTTGCTCCTCCGATGGTATAGTTATGAAACAGCGCGTCGAATGTCAAAAAAACCCATATTCTCAACCAAAATCGGCCCTCAGACCCATGAATACTGGGGGCAGCATTAGACCTCAAAAGATACCAGAAATGTCCAAATCATGATGCATTCTGCAAAATGTAGTCCTTCAATGAGCGAGAAATTGTGAGGTTGAGGAAATTCATCACGGTGAGCCCAAAATTGGCCCTTAAGAGTACCTACGACACCTACGTCTTCTTTCGATGGAAAACGCTCTCTAATATGAGGGGCTTGGAGTACAAGGCCAAAAAAAACAGTTTTTGAAAAATTGAGGTAATACTAATCTCAAGTAAAACTAGCCTTGATGCATATTCTGTGAAAAATTCGCTCCCAAATTCAAATTTTTAAGCATCAAAAAGTCAGTTTGAACTTTTTTCCGCCATATAAGGATCCATGTTTTATCGAAACTTCAAACACGTATTTCTCGAAATAGCAAAAACTGTTTTTATACGCCTTGTCCTCCAAGCCTCTTATGTGTACCTGTTACAAGTAGGATACTTACAGTAAGAATAGATTTGCGCGTAAGATGAGCAGTTGCACAATTATTGAAATTGCCTCCATACACCCTGGGCTTATTGATTTCCCTTGACATTTTTGCAGTGGCGAATGAATAGCTGAAGTGCGCTTCAGCTAGAATTTCATTTAGCAAATGGGAGGTTTTTATACGAAGATTAAAAATAAACAAGTGGTAATAAAACAAAATAATAAGAACTTTGCAAAACGATAATCCGGGTATCGGAACTTGGCTGTTTTGAAAACGCCTTCAAATGCGGCGTGATACCTCACGCATTCCGGAGAGTTCAAATAGTTGTATCATTGCGCCTTAGAAATCCGACGGCAGATTACAATTGAAAAAGCATCCATACGCGCTCGGCTTGTCGATTTCCTTTGACATTTTTGCAGTGGTGAATACATAGCTGAAGTGCGTTCCAGCTAGAATGGAGAATTTGCACGCAATTTTTTTATTGCTTCATCTGAAAGTGCCTAATGAGCTGAGTTCGCAATATTTTTCATAATTTTTTTCTGACATGGGAAATTGGAGAAAAACACATTTAAAAGTGAGAAAATGTGCCGCCTTGTGACGTCATCTGGCGGCATTTCCCATTTAAACACATGTATTTTAGCAGAATCGGTTATTTTGTCATATCTCCTCTAATAATTGCTCAATTTATGAATCAAGGGTATCTTCGTGTTCAGTTCACTCAGAGGATTCCACTTAAACAGGAAATTCATCAAATTTCAGACCCTTGCAAATTCTCCATTGTATTTAGCAAATGGGTGGTTTTTATACGAGGGTTAAATATAAACAAGTGGTAAGTAGGAAATAAAATGAATCGGCTCGTGCGAAAACCGCGAATGTCCATTTTTTCAATTTTGAGATTTTTGGGTTAAAATACTCTCGGAGGTCAGACACACTCATTAATGTAGTGAAAATGTTTGTTCCTCAGGTTTGAAAGCCTTTTCAGGGGGGGGGGGGCNGGGGGGGGGGGCATGGTCCGAATCATGCGAAAACCGCTAATGTCCATCTTTCGTTATGTGCCTCATTATACTGTACAACAAACCAAAATAAAAAAATGTCTCCTGGACGACATTAGGTGAACTTTGTGCATTTTAAGGCGCTGAATCCGTATATGACCTCCGTTTTTTTCCATCGCCCTCCAATTTTCCGGAAAAGCCGATTTTACTCGGAAAAATGACCATTTTTGGGCATTTTCGGTGTTTTTCCGACTGTTATCCCGACTGTTAAATTGGAGGGTAATGGGAAAAAACGGAGGTCATATTCGGATTCAGCGCCTCAAAATACGTAAGGACATCCATATTTGGCCCGAAAGGCATACTGAAAAACATGCGTCTTCGATGTTTTAGAACCGCGTCCACGCGCAAATCATGCGAAAACCGCTAATGTCCAGTTTATTGCTGAGAGTTTTGTGATGAAACTTATTTTAAGTACCGCAACTGTCCGGAATTTCATTTTTTTAACTTTATGTGAATGATAATCTACCGCTTTAGCATCTTTAGAATGAATTTTGAAAATATCAAACGGCTCCAAAACTCGGCGATTTTTACGTATCATGCGAAAAGCGCTAATGTCCAGAGCCCTTTCTTTTTAATTACTCCGTCCCAGACAGAAGAGGAGCTGGAAACTGTTAGGGATCCTTTTCTACAATCCACTCTTGTAATCATCAACTTCTGAAAATTTTTTAATCCCGCATTTAAAAGGCTTTTACAGTTTTTTGCAGTTTACTCAAAATAAGAGAAAATGGACATTAGCGGTTTTCGCATGAGCCGATTCAAATGTAATAATAAGAACTTTGCAAAACGATAATCCGAGTATCGGAACTTGGCTGTTTTGAAAACGCCTTCAAACGCGGCGTGATACCTCACGCATTCCGGAGAGCTCAAAAAGATGTATCATTGCGCCGTAAGAATGTGACGGAAGATTACAATATTCGCACTGAAATATCGGGTATATAATCATGTTTCACAGGCTAGGAAGCTTTTACCGTCATTTTCTCTTTCGATCTGACAACCCTGATACCTGTTCTGTCTGTTCGATTAATACTTTTTCAATAATTTGAGCAGGTATGCAGTGTGTTGGCCGGCAATACAATACAGGGCCCATGGTGTGATATTAATGTTTGACCCTAAAATTGACAACCACAAGTCTGAGCTGCTATTTTTCTACCAGGCGTTTGTCGCTCAGCTGAACCTCAGTCCTAGACAATGTTTGATCATTACTCAAAATCAAACTGTAAATTTGCGTAAGTATTGGAGAGGAACTTGCTGACTTTTCTTCTGGAAAAATATATTTAAACAACAGTGCACTGAGATAGGTTAGTTCAGTTGGCTGGGAGGTGAGCCTTGTGAGTGCATATGTGAAGGTAAAAATTAGATACGAAATGTTTTCACTCACCATGATTATATACAAGAACCTAAACCTAAAATTTCTGAAAAAAAATTCTGATTATTTAGAGTCGAAAAAGATCGTAGGATGCATGGCAAAGATGTGGTCCTGTATTTAAAAATAAAATCATTCTTCTCTTTAGTATCTATAGAGGCAGATCCAGAGATTATGAACACGAGGAGTGGAGGGGGGGGGGG